TCCTGGCCAGTTTTGCTCAGTGGTTAGAGCATCAGCCTGAGAACCAAAGGGTTATGGTTCAATTCTCAGTCACAAGCATGTACCAGGTTTGATCCCCAGCCCTAGTCCGGGCTCAAGTGGGAAGTAACCAATTGATGTATTTCTCTCACATAGATGTGTTTTTTTTCTCTCTCTCTCTCTCTGCCTCTCCCTCTCTCCTTTCCATTCTGCCTAAAAAAAGAAAAAAAAGAAAAATCAATTGAAAAATATCCTTAGGTGAAGATTAACAAAAAAAAGAAAAAAGAAAAAGATTATATAGCTGTTGTTAAAATATGCCAGTGTTGGCTACCTATATAAACACCAGAGATGGCCCAGCTGGTGTGGCTCAGTGGCTGAGCGTTGACCCATGCACCAAGACACCAGTTTGATTTCTGATCAGGGCACATCCCCTGTTGGGGGGCATGCAGGAGGCAGCCAATCTATGTTTTCTCTCATTGATATTTCTTTCTCTCTCTCTTTTCCTCCCTAAAAACCAATAAAGAAAAACAAAACAAAACACTAGAGATGAAGAAAATTTCCCATTTCTTGTGATTATAGTATATGAGCAAGTATATTATATGTGGTAGTCTCTCAAATCTTATAAAAACTACCAAAACTACTTTTGGGGAATTTTGAACATAGAAACAGTGATTTAATAATATATAAACAATTTTAATGTCAATTAAGAGAATAAGACCTTGTTTGTTAGAAAAATTAAGCTCCACTAAATAAGTTTAATTTTCAAAAATATGAAGACAAGCAAATAGGTAGAAATGAAGTGGAGGGAATAAAGATGGAAACAAGACAACTCTGCTTTTGATTTTCTGAACCACATGCTTACATACACCAAAAATAAAATTAGATAAAAATAAGAAATCAAATCCTAAAATTATATATAAACAAAAACAAATGAACCAAAATATTTACCATAATGATAACACAACCACACAGAAAAATTATTTCAGATTGTCTTTGAACATAGTGCTCGGACTATGCTTTCTCGATTGGTTATATTCTAAGGACAGAAGTCTTAAATGTTACTTAGTAATTGAGTAATTTTAAAACTATTTTATATGTACTGTATAATAAAGGAAAAAGTAAACATATTAAAGTGATTAAGAAGCAAGATTTTTGCCCTGGCCCATCTGGCTCAGCAGTGAGAACATCAGCCCATGCACTGAAGGATCTCAGGTTGGATTTCAGGTCAGGGGCACGTACCTGGGTTGCAGGTTGACCCCGGACCCTGGTCAGTCAGGGCATGTGCATGAGGCAACCAGTCGATGTTTCTCTCCCACATCAATGTTTTTTTCTCTTTCCCCCTTCCACTATCTCTAAAAAAAAAAAAGTCAATGGAAAAAAGAAGCAAACTTTGGTGAATATTAACAAAAAACATAAACAAATAAATGGTCACCCTGGCTGGTTTGGCTCAGCGGTTAGAGCATTGGCCCTCGGACCAGAGAGTCCCGGGTTCGGTTCCCATTAAGGGCATGTACCTTGGTTGCAGTTTGTCCCCGGCCCCGGTTGGGGTTGTGTGGGTGGCAGCCACTTGATGTGTCTCTCTCACATCGATGTTTCTCTCTCTCCATTCCTTCCTCTCCCCCTCCCACTCTATCTGAAGATAAATGCAAAAATGTCCTCGGAAGAGGATAAAAAAAAAAGACAAATGGTCGAGACTCTTCAAAGAGTCAATGCCATTAAAAAAAAGTCTTAGAGATTGTTCTAGACTTACAGAAATTATCAACTAATGCAATGTGTGAAACTAGACAGGATCCTGGTTAAAAAAAATAGCTCCAGCCCTGGCCAGTTTGGCTCAGCAATTGGAGCATCAGCCTGCAGACCAGAGAGTCCCAGGTTCGGTTCCCGCTAAGGGCACATTAAAAAAAAAAAGAATTGCTACAAAAATAGTTTTAAGATGACTTGGGGAAATTATAATATGGTCTAGATATTAGACAATTGTGATATTGTGGTTTTTAATATGAAATATATATTGGGTCATCTTCCAGTTCCTGGCAAGAGCTCCTAAAACCCTTGAAATTTCCTAGTTGATAAGAATTAAGAATGAATAATATAGGAATCTTTTATTTATAACAAGCCCCTTTCAACCACACCTGAGTTTATGTTAATAAGGTGATTTTTGGAAAGCCCCTAGATCAGCAATTTTCAAACTATGTGCCAGATGAGGCACACTGGTGTGCTCCAAGAATTTTTAAAACACGCAATACCTGAGTATTTAGTCAGGGGCACTACTTTTCCTTCAGATTAAAAAAAATAAAATTACAACAGCCAACACAACAATAGCTGTCCAGTGTGAACAAATAAAAATTATACCTGTTTTTTTTTTTTTTTGGTATGCTACAGAATTTTAGTAATTAGTTTATTTGTGCCATGAGATGAAAAAGGTTGAAAATCGCTGCCCTAGATAAGCACAGGATGGGGGCTGATTGCCAGGGAACTGAACATGTGGTTAGAGGGCTTAAACTATCAGCTTTACCACCCTCAACCTCCAGGGAGGGGAAAGGGGCTGGAGGTGGAATTAATCCCCAATAGTTAATGATCTAATCAATCGTTGACTCTGTATTGATGCCTCCATAAAAATACCACAAGCACCGGATTCAGAGAGCTCTCAGGTTGGGAAACACGTTGAGGTGCCACCAAAGAGGGTGCCTGGACAGGGTGTGGAAGCTCTGCAGCTCTTCCACGTACTGCACCTACGCATCCCTTCCATCTGGCTATGTCTGAGTTGTATCCTTGGCAGTAAACTAGTAATCTAGTAAGTAAGCTGAGTTCTGGGAGCCACTCGAGTGAATCATCAGACCCAAGGAGAGGGCTGTAGGGACCTTCCGATCTGGCCCCTGAAGTGACAAGGGAGGCCGCCCTGTGGGCTGAGCCCTTCCCTGTGCGATCTGACGCTAATTTCAGCTAGCTAGCAGCAGAACTGAATTAAACTGTAGGACCCCACTTGGTGTCTGCAGACAACTGGTGAATTGTTTGATGGGGTGAAAAAACTTACATTTGGAGTACAGCAGTATTCTGTGAATAAAGAGAATACACAGTTTTTCCTAGACAATAATATTACAGAATTATGTTTGATTTTCATAGATAATGGTATTGAGTTTATGTAAGAGAATGTCCTATTAGAAGATTTAAGTTAAAGATTTGGGGGAGGAGTTAATCTCATAGTGTCCACTATATCCTTTATAGTTCTTTAAATATAAATACACACACACACATAGAGGAATAAAGCAAATGTGGCAAATGTAAACAACTGACTCCAGGTGAAGGTTATAAAAGTATACAATGTGGTATTCTTTCAACGTTGTATATGTTTAATATAAAATTTTTTAAAAGGCTAGGAAACATAAAAATAGGGGAATATGAATGTATTCAACCTACAAGATATAGACCTCCCATACAGATATATCACCGACCTCAAAATATTATCTGTAGAATTCATTTTTTTCTTAAGATAAAAAACATAGGCAACTACATTTTAAAAGCTTTGTGGCCCAGTTGGTGTGGCTCAGTGGTTGAGTGTCGAACCATGCACCAAGAGATTACTGGTTCGATTCCTGATCATGGCACATGCCCAGGTTGTGGGCCCAATCACCAGTGGGGAGCATGCAAGAGACAGCCAATGGATGTTCTTTCTCATCAATGTTTCTATCTCTCTGTCCTACTCCATTCCTCTCTCTCTAAAATCAATAAAGGCCCTGGCCGGTTTGATTCAGCGGTTAGAGCATCGGCCCGCGGACCAGTGAGTCGAGGGTTCAATTCTGGCTAAGGGCACGTACCTGGGTTGCAGTTCGTCCCTGGCCCTGGTCAGGTTTTGTGTGTGTGGCAACCAGTTGATGTGTCTCTCTCACATCCATGTTTCTCTCTGTCTGTCTGTCTGTCTCTCTCCCTCCTTCCCTCCCTCCCATTCTAATGATAAATAGAAAAATATCCTCAGGTAAAGAATAAAATAAAATAAAAATCAATAAAGGAAAATAAAAATTTTGTGTACATCACGTATGAACAACGCTGACTGCTCTACTCATTAAACAAAAGAAAAAAATTACCATTGGATTATACTAACGTGTAATCATCTGTTGTACTTTTTTAAGTTTTTTTTTTTTAAAAACAAATGTGTTCACTTAGGCGACTTCTGTTTTCACTATGTATTAGTTTTTTTTCTCTGCTACTACAGAAGCTCCCTGTTAGTACATTCTGGGGTGGGTGTGTGTGTGTGTGGGGGGGGGGAGGTTGTGGAGCCTTTGGAACATGATGGTTATTGCCACTGTCTTTGTTTCATTTTTAAGTTTGTCCCTTGTGGGGTCTGGTGGAATAGCCAGCACTGACAGACTATAGCAGTGTGCTGTATCTTTACATTGAAAACAATGTCTCTTTTGATTTGTACATAACTCTGAATAGGTGACAGTAGATAATAGCTGACATGTGCAAAATGTTGTTCTTGTACCTTTAGAATTTCTGCCATCAAATTAAATGTTTTGTTTAAAAAAAAAAAAAAAAAAAAAAAGCTTTGTGCCCCTGGCTAGGTGGCTCAGTTAGTTGGAACGTTATTCTATACACCAAAAGACGGTGGGGTTTGACTCCCGGTCAGGGCACATACCTAGGTTGCAGTATCAATCCCCAGTCAGGGCGAGTATGAGAGGCAGCTGATTGAAGTTTTGCTTTCACATCAATATTTCTCTCTCTCTCTCTCTTTCAAAAACCAATAAAAACATCCTCAGGTGAGGATTAAAACAAAAAGCTTTGCGGATTCTGTTTTATATAGAGAAGTGACTTCTGTTTGGAACAAAACAAAACATTTTGGTCAGGGATAAGAAGAGCAACTTTACCTAGGGAACAGTTAAAGATTTCCCAAAAATGACTAATGTTCAATCCAGAACCCTGAAAATCACTGAATTTCCTAGAAGCTAAAAGTTTTTAGCATAACACCCATTTACAAAGAGTAAGTTTTCAATGCCTCCTGGTGAGGTTACCTCATCTGGTTGAGGGAGGACAATGACTGACATTGTTCCTGTGTGAATACGCTGCATCCTTGAAGACAGGCCCACCTCAGGGATTCGCTGAACTCGGTGAATCCCACCTTCATACTTCAAATGCTTATAGACATTGTCACCAGAAATACGGGCAGCTGCATGATGCAGCCCACCTAGGAAAAAAGTAACCAGAAACTATTAATTAATTCTAATTTGAAAGGGATCAAGGTCTTAAATATCCTTAATTTAAGGCCTGAATGTGAGTACAGCACCTAAGATGAGAACATAAAGTACGTACAAAACTGTATTTTCCAAATGTAAATATATTAATATATAAAAAGAAATATACCAAACTATTATGTATGGTTATCTCTGGGAAACAGAATAACAGCCGATTATTATTTTACTTTTTATACTTATTTTGTTTCTAAATTTTCTATAATAAGCAAGTTTTACTTTTATAAAAAAATACTAGGATGTCTTCTGCTTGAACTACCCTATGCCATCTTAGGCTAATATGATGCTACATATAAAAGAACACTCACGTACATAATAATTTGATAATGATGAATAACTCTACAGGTCCTCTCAAGTTTTCAAGGATCTACTGAAATGTAGCTCTTGCTTATCTGTTGAGTGGGAAGATTATCACAAAATAATCTTAATGCCTAGGCTAGCTTCTTATCAAATGTGTTTTTAAAAAATATTTTATTATACAATAATATACAGACATAGACAACCACATGAATCAAATGTATGGCTTAATAACTACCACATCAAGAAAAAGGACTTGCCCTGGACTGTTTGGCTCAGTGGTAGAGCGTTGCCCGCAAACTGAAGAGTCACAGGTTCAATACCAGTCAAGGGCACATACCTCTCAGTTGTGGTGCGGTCCCTTGCCCTGGTTGGGGTCGTGCAGGAGGCAACCAATTTATGTCTTGTCTGTCTGTCTGTCTCTCTCTCCCCCCACCCACTGTATCTGAAGATAAAAATGGGAAAAAGTATCCCCAGGTGAGGATTAAAAAAAAAAAGAAAAAGAACTTTGTCAGTCACCCCAAAAGCCCTCCCCTAGGACCCCTCCCCAGTTACAATCTCCTCCCTTTCTCATGACTAACCATCATTCTTTTATTCTTTTCACAATAACTGTATTACCTAAATATGCTGCCCTAAGCACTATATTTAGTCTTGTCCATTTAAAAGTTTGATTATGTCTTTTAAATCCTTTAATCTATAGGTTCATCATCCATCTCTTTTGTTTCCTACAAATTTACAAATTATCTCTTGAGGAACTGGGCTGTTGACCTGTAGAATTTCTCCCAGTCTGGTTTTGCTGATTGCATACTCCTGGTTAAATTCAACCTGGCTGCAACTGGGCAGCTAGATCCAGAGACTGGATCAGAAACCAGCTCAAGCTCATCTTTTTATGGTCTTGACAGCCTTTGATGCTTAATGGATCATGGGGTTGTAAAATGGTGATATTCTAATTCTATCATTTATTTCTCACTTTTTTTTTTATCCTCATCCGAGGACATTTTTCCATTTTTTTGTTTGGATAGAGTGGGAGGGAGAGAGAGAGAGAGAAACATCGATGCAAAAGGTACACATTGAGCGGCTGCCGAACCCATCCAGGGCTGGGGACAAACTGCAACCGAGGTACGTGCCCTTAACGGGAACTGAACCTGGGTTTCTCTGGACCGCAGGCCAACGCTCTAACCGCTGAGCGAAACCAGCCAGGGCTATTTCTCACTTTTAATTAAAATACATTTATAAAGAGACATTTCCCCTTGCCTACTATTTGATTATCCACTGATACAGTTATATAGGAAAGGCAGAATTCACGCTTGATCCTGTCCCTTTACAAATTTTATTAATATCGCAATACATTTTTTGTTTTTTACAATATAATGAATTAGGGTCCTTAATCCTCTGACCAATTATTATTATTATTATTTTTAATCCTCACCCGAGGATATTTTTCAATTGATCTTCAGATAGAGTGGGAGGGAGGGAGGGAGACACATCGATTGGTTGCCTCCCCCACGACCCCAACCAGGGCCAGGGATTGAACTGCAACGAAGGTATGTGCCCTTGACCAGCATCAAACCCGCGCTGCCTCTTTGGTCTGTGGGCTGACGTTCTAACACCTGAACCAAACCGGCCAGGGTTGACCAATTATTTTAAAAAATATCCTTATGAACACATTCAGCATGTTTAAATCAACTGTGATTATTATTACTGAAACTCCACTTGTCCCATTTTTGGCCAGTGGCAGCCTCTTCAAGCTAACTTCTGAGTTCAACAGCTCTTGTAACGGTATAACAAGATGTTCCAGGATTGTCTTGAACACTTCTTGCCCCACACTGGAATTCGCTATTTCTCCAAGAAGCCCTGATTCCTTTCAAAGAGAAATAATATTTCAAGACCACAATTTGGGTGCCAGGGATATTTACTACTACTGGGTTGGTCATTGTTTCTAGGCATTTTCAGTGGATAGAGATGGGAAATCCCTCATGAGATCATATTGATGTTCGGAGACAATTCTCTACCAGTTTCTTCTGCTTGTACACATCTTGCAAATGCACTCCCTGTCCTTCTGTTCCAGAAAATATTTTTAAGGTTATGGTGAACAGCTCTGGAGATTCTGTCTCCCTCCAAAGCAAAGGACAAGTTTTCCCACAGCCTTGGAAGACACAGTATCTCTTTCTAGAGCAATGGGCAGGCATACTTACTAACCATTAAAAAATACTTGTCATCCCTAAGCTCAGGGTTTCCCTCCTGTAACAAAACCCACTGTGTGGGCAGGTATCATTTGGGCTTCTTTGAGTTGCCTTGTGGGATCTGGGGCTCACAGAACCAGCACAAAAATTCTGATATTCCTACTGCAACTAGTCTGAATAACAAACTGTCCTGCATCTCTGACCCATGAAACTGTGGCACGCTAACTTGTTAGCTTACAAGTATGGTAAAATCTTAGAACGTTCACAGCTCTTGACAACCGATACTTTCAAAGTAAATTCAAGATATCAACCTCTTGCCCTGGCCAGTTTGGCTCAGCGGTTAGAGTATCAGCCTATAGACCAAAGGGTCGCAGGTTGGATTCCCGGTCAAGGGCACATATCTGGGTTGCAGGTTCGATCCCCGGCCCTGGTTGGGGTCAGGCGGGAGGCAACAAATGTGTCTCTCCTCCTCCCCAACTTCCTTCCACTCTATCTAAAAATCAATGAGCCCTGGCTGGTTTGGCTCAGCGGGCCTGCGGACTAGAGAGTCCAGGGTTCGGTTCCCGCTAAGGGCACGTACCTCGGTTGTGGTTTGTCCCTGGCCCCAGTTGAAGTCGTGTGGGTGGCACCACTCGATGTGTCTCTCTCACGTCGATGTTTCTCTCTCTCTCTTCCCCCCTCTCTTTCTCCTGCTCTATCTGAAGATAAATGCAAAAATGTCCTCTGGTGACGATAAAAATAAATAAATAAAATAATAAAAATCAATGAAAATATATCTAAAAACCAATGGGAAAATATCCTCAGGTGAGGATTAACAAAATAAATAAAAAACTAAGAAACGATTCTATTAAAAAGAAAAAAGATTACAACATCTTCTTCACTACTCTTTAAAAAATTTTTTTATCCTCACCCAAGGACATTTTTACACGCATCTTCAGATAGAGTGGGAGGGACAGAGAAAGAGAGAGAGAGAGAAACATTGACTGGTTACCACCCACACGACCCCAACTGGGGCCGGGGTACAAACCGAAACTGAGGTATGCAATCCTAGCGGGAACCGAACCCGGGTCTCTGTGGTCCGCAGGCCGACACTTCAACCACTGAGCCAAACCAGCCACGGCTTCTTCTCTACTCTTGTACCTCATCTTCCATACCTTGGTTCTCAAAGACAGAGAGGATACTAGAATTAGAATATCTCACAATTATTCATTTATTTTATCCCATATACATCCAACAGTCTCAAAATAACAACTAGTTCTACCACCAATATGATTACTCAAAACATTGAAACATTTTTGCATAAGCTCTACCCATTCTCCACCCTCCACTTTTACAAATGGTTGTACTCTGTACTGTCAGGTCTTACAATCCTTATACTCTATTCTTTCTTAGTCTGCAACTGGGCCTAGTTCTACAGGTACCACATATTTAATGCTCATCCTTACTCTTTATGTCAGGGGTGGGGAACATCTGGCTTCTGGACTATATAAGGCCTGGGAAATCGATACTAGACAACATCACACACCTCACTAAAGAGTAGTAGTTCCGCCCTGGCCAGTTTGGCTCAGCGGTTAGAGCGTCGGCCTGCGGTCTGGAGAGACCCAGGTTCGGTTCCCGCTAGGGGCGCGTACTTCGGTTGCAGTTTGTCCCCGGCCCTGGTTGGTTGTGCGGGTGGCAGCCACTCGATGTGTCCCTTCACGTCGATGTTTCTCTCTCTCTCTCTGTTCCTCTCTCTCCCTCCCACTCTATCTGTACAAAAAATGGAAAAATATCCTCGGGTGAGGATAAAAAAAGAAAAAAGAGTAGTAGTTCCAACCATCATATTAGGGGTGAGTTAAATAAATGTTTGACCAAATTTGGCAGGCTAATTTTTAAGCTGATAATTTTGCATGGCCCATGAATGATGTTATAAATATCCAAATGGCCCTTGGCAGAAAAAAGGTTTCCCACCCCTGCTTTATGTTGATAACTCATATTTTAATTGTCTGAAGTTTTCTTTTCTAGTATATTCCTCATAAAGGGATCATGGGAAGAGTATTTCCTGAATTCCTAAATATTGATAACAGTACACGTATACTTATAAGTCAGTTTTGCTGATTATAAAATCATTAACTCAAATTCCTTTCCTTGAGCGAACTCCATCTCTTTCTGGCACAAAGTGTTGTTGCCAAATAGCCTGATGAAAACCTCATTTTCTTTCCCTTAGAAGTCACAGGTTCTTTTTTTCTCTATGTCTAGATTTTTTCCTCTTCAAATAGAAACGTCCAATAATTTTATTAGATTATATCTTAGCATTGGTCATTCTGGCTGGATATCTTCATATGTGCTCTTTAAATATGTGGCTTCAAATATATGTATTTTTTCTATTTCAGAAAAGTTTTGTCGAAATAAGTCAGTATTTGTTGTGATAGGTAGTCTCAGAGATGGCCCCCATCATCCCTGCGTCTCTTGGTACTCACACCCTTACAGTTGCCTCTCAGCTGGTCTGTATGATCCACAGCGTACAGCAGACTTCACAGTACACCTTCTAGAGATTAGGTTACAAAGAACCATGGCTTCCCTAGTGGGTGCTGGCTCGCTCGTGCTCTCTCTCTCGTATCACTCATGCTGGGGGAGAAACAGGCTGCCGTGTTGTGAGCAGCCCTATGGAGAGGACCCACATGGTGAAACCTGAGGTCTGTCAACAACCAAGTGAGCTGTGAAGCAAACCCTTAAACCCTAGTCAAGTGCTGAGATAACTACAGGCCCAGGCAACAGCTAGAACACCACTTCATGAGAACCTACACCAGAACCACTCTGGAAAACTGATCCCCAATTCCTAACCTTCAGAAATTGTGAGATACGAAAAACCCTTGTTGCTTTAAAGCTGTTAAATTTTGGTAATTTGTTACACAGCAATAGATAACAGATACAGTATCTGCTCTGACTCTTTTTATCATATAATCTACCTTGTTGGCTTATCTTTAATGTCATTTTTTCTGACTCTTCATTTTAAATTTCTTATTGATTCTAAGAAACATTTCTTTTTGACTGTTTTCTAAGGCATTATCTGTTCTGTTTATCTGCTCATATGTTCCTTCTGATTTGTTCTTTTTTTTTTTTTTTAAAATTACCTGGCTCAGAATCTAGAATTTTTTTAAATTTTTTTTATCCTCATCCGAGGACATTTTTCCATTTTTTTTGGACAGACAGAGTGGGAGGGAGAGAGAGGAAGAGAGAGAGAGAGAGAAACATCGACGTGAAGGGACACATCGAGTGGCTGCCACCCGCACGACCAACCAGGGCCGGGGACAAACTACAACCGAGGTACGTGCCCTTAGCGGGAACCGAACCCGGGTCTCTCCGGACCGCAGGCGGATGCTCTAACCGCTGAGCCAAACCGGCCAGGGCCTGATTTGTTATTAATTTCTGAAATGATTTTGACTTGTTTTGAAATAGCTGATAATAGTTTTGATCTGTTTTATGGACACAGCTTTCTGGTGTATTGGGATCTTACCCTGCTTCTTATTCTTTCTCGTATTAAACTTTCTTTCTTAGAAAACTTTGTATGGAACTTGACTTTGATACTTTCCAAAGGCTCTTATCTTTTTCACCAGCTCTCCCTAAAGCTCTTTTGCACAGTGAGAGCTTAGCGTTAGGTAGTAGGTGAGGTTGGAGCTGACATGAGCTCACTGGGTTTAAAGTGGCTCTTGAGAGCTGTTTCACAACAGCTATATGAGGAGACTGATTTAAGATTCTGACTGGCCCTGGTCAAGGTGCATGCAGTAGGCAGCCAGTCAATGTGTCTCACTCACATCGATGTCTCTCTCTCTCCCCCCTCCCCCAACATCCTCCTTTCCGCTCTCTATAAAAATCAACGGAATAAAGTATCCTTAGGTGAGAATTAACAGCAACAACAAAAAAGGCACTCTCTCCCCAGGAGCACGCCCATGCCACCCTCACCTTCTTTCCCCACAGGCATGCATCTCCTAAACTCTAAGGAACCCCACCAGGCTGGCAACAATGAGCAGCAGGAGCTGATCCCAGGCAAACTTCCTGAACCTGTCCCCAAGGCCCCCTTTTCTCTGACTTCTTAGTGAGCCAAAGCAGACCAGCCTAGGCGAATCATTTCCCCTGCCCTTCCTTGTATTATTGTCTCCATCTTTAATAAACATCCTCCAGCCCAGCTGGTATGGCTCAGTGGCTGAGCACTGACCCATGCACCAAGAGGTCACTGGTTTGATTCCCAGTCAGGGCACATGCCCAGGTTGTAGGCCAAATCCTCAGTGTGGGGCATGCAGGAGGCGGCCAATCGATGTTCTCTCTCATCAATGTTTCTTATTCTCCCTCTCTCTAAAATCAATTTTAAAAAAATTAAAAAAAAAAACCACAAAAACACACATTCTCTAAAATTTAAAAAAAAAATTTTTTTTTTAGTTCTGGTGACTACCACCTCATAATTTGTAGATGTGCTTTGGGAGGATGTATTAAGCATAGTAGTTGCCTTTTGAATCCAATTGCAAACAAGGTTTCTAAATTCTTAACATATTCCTATCTCCATGGATGAATGGATGGAAGCATAGATGGGGAAGGAAGCTCTCTGGCTCATTTTTTGTGGTTGTTAATCCTCACCAGAGGATATTCTTCCACTGAGTTTTAGATAGAGTAGAAGGGAAGGAGGGAGAGACAGTGGGGACATCAGTGTGAGACACACATTGATTGGTTGCCTCCCGCATGACCCTGATGGGGGCTGGGACCAGCAACCCAGATATGTGCCCTTGAGTGGGAACTGAACCCGAGGCCCTTCAGTGTGTGGTCAACGCTCTAACCGCTGAGCCACACCAGCCAGGGCTGTAGTTGCCTGCTTTATGTGGGCACTCAGAGGGATGGATAACTATGCTGCCACTGTTCTTAATGGAGACTCAGTGCTATGAAGTCAGACTGAACCCACTTGGTTTCTGAAGTCGGCATATTAGACAAAAACTGGGTATAGGTTTTAATTACTCTAGAAAATGCCCTGGGATTTTCAATCACTTACCAGAGGTGGACATACTATCTCTTAGTAAGTCCAATACAGCTGGAGTTCCTGCAGTAATGAAACAGATTACTGTTTATATTCTTGACTACCAGATAAAAGAAGCTAACACGCATTCAAGGGTCAAATAATATGAAAAATGTAACTGTCATTCATAGTCAGTGTAGTAAGATGCTCATATTATGAACGATACCTAAGAAGTGAGACAGAGGCCACAACAATTTTAACTTCCCATCTCACATTCATTGTGTACTTTAAAAATTATTCTCCCCACCCCTTTACATCATGTTGAATGGAAATATTTGAATTTATATGAGGCTAAAAGGAGAACGCTGCAATTTCACTTTGAAGATTAGGCTGTCCAGGTTCAAATTCAAGCTCCTCCTCTTCCTAACTGTATGTCCACAAGCAAGTTATTTAACTTTTCCATGCTTCTGTTTCCTTATTTATAAATGATAACAATATATAACCTGGGCTACAGCACTACACACCCAAAGGGGGAGCCATTCACATTGCACATTATATGAGTAGTGTTTCAAGGTATATGTAAGCATACAACATAGCCCCTGTGTCAAGGGCTGTTATGAGGAATAACTAAGATAAATACTCAAAGAGCATTTAGCAGTGCTGACATAGCTGTTGACGAGTATCAGTAGTAACTGAAAGTACACCATTGGTTCTCCTGGACCAGCAGGATATCCTGTGGAAGGGAAAGATGCAAACTAACTTATGATGGGCTGGAGAGTTAACATACCTCTGAGATGGGGCAGTGAAGGTCCACTGCTGGCCTTGCCAGCTGAAAACAAACTGCCTGTCGTAGTCCTTGACAGGTATGAGAAGTAAGTATTTGCCAGATCAACAGCTACATACCAGGGACCAGGGGGTGTTAATTTGCTCAAGCAACAAAACCACATCGAGTATAGAGGCTGCAACTGGAGTCACCACCGGCTTAAGTTTACAATTATCCACTGTTATCATCCAAGATCCACCTTCCTTCAGCACAGGCCAAAAGGCAGAATGGTGATGTAGTGGGAATCACCACCCCGTATCCTTCAAGTTCTTTTTTTTTTTTTTTTATCCTCACCTGAGGACATTTTTCTATTTTTTGTTCAGGTAGAGTGGGAGGGGGAGAGAGGAAGAGAGAGAGAGAGAAACATCGATGTGAAAGGGACACATCGAGTGGCTGCCACCCGCACGACCAACCAGGGCCGGGGACAAACTGCAACCGAGGTACATGCCCTTAGCGGGAACCGAACCCGGGTCTCCCGGGACTGCAAGCCGACGCTCTAACCGCTGAGCCAAACCGGCTAGGGCTCCCTTCAAGTTCTTGATGGTGGCACTAATCTTGACAATCCCCCAGAAAGAGGTATTGCTTTTGGCTTATTATTTTCCTAGGGAAGGGCAATTCTAGTGGTTTCCACTTGCCTTCCCATCATAACACTTATTCCACAGGTCAGGGAACCACTGGGGGGATTCCACCAGCTCCTGAGTGTATCTGTTCCAATTATGATTCCCAGAACTGGAGGAAACAACCTCATGATGATTTTGGGATCCATTAGGCCCACTGTGAGAGAGACCTGAGCTAAAACTGCATTGATACCTGACCTCCAGAAGTCCCTCCTCTGACTGATGGACCACAGTGACATTCTGAGTCTCCTGGAATGAGTGTCAGTTCAGATCCAGTGTCTGGTAGTCCATTAGATACTCTGATTATTTCCTTTTCCCCAAGGCACAGTTACCCTGGGGGAAAACATAGGTCTCTTTGGGGAAGGCTGGAAGAAAGATTACAATATAAATTTTTGACAGTGCACCAGGTTCTTCAATGGAACTTAGCCTCCTGTCCATTCAAGGAGTTCGAGTCTGTAACCTGGCTTGAGTCTGGGAATTAATTGAGGGGCCATTACTTCTGTTTTTATGATACAGGTTAGACTTTTATTCACTTGACTTAAAACTTCTCATACAGATCAAGTAAGAATTTAGTACCCTGTCATTCTATCTTGCTTCTAGGGACATCACGGTAAATCAAGTAGCCAATATGTCTGCACAGGTCAGACTAGTCAGTTGCTGCTCTCTGACTCTGCTGTCCATTATAGAAACCAAGCCCATGTTGCCTTTGGCTACTGAGGGCCACCACTTAGCCCCTGCCACCCTGAGATCCAACTACTACAATTGCATTTAGGTTTCCCAATTCAGTTCCCAGAGTTCCCATCATAAGGCCTATTCTAGCTACAGAAAACAGTGATCATAAAGGTCTTTAAGGATGCTGGGGCTCCCCTCACAAATTTATTTCTCACAGTTGTGGTGAAAAGGAGGTCTTCTGGTTATATAAAATTAACCACCAGATTACTTTAAGGGACCTCTCCCCGAATTCAACTAATGAGCAGACAATAACAAAACATAATTTTAAACATTAATCCATTGGGAGAGAGGAGATAATGTGATACATGTCATTTAACTTGGAAAATGTTTCGGTTCACTAGGTATCAGGTATAGAGAGTAATACAGATCTACACTACATATCAAGAGCCATCACCTTCCACTGTTTGCACAAAGACTATCTGGTAATCATTTAGTTTGGAATATTTACATATGGTTGAGTATTGTCTTTATTTGTACATACAGTCACAAAACTACAAGACTTTACCCCAGCCGGGTAGCTCAGTTGGTTAGAATGCTGTCCTGATACACCAAGGTTGCAGGCTCAATTCCTGGTCAGAGGACATCCAAGAATCAACCAATGAATGCATAAATAAGTGGAATAACAAACTGATGTTTTTTTTCTCTCTCTAAAATAAAAACAAAACAAGACAAAAAAACCTACAAGACTTTAAGTCACTTGATATATAAAATTTTTCATGGAAGTGCTTCGTTTCACACAGCTTCTAGTGCTGTGTATATCTGTGTGGAATTCCTCTGCGTTAATTACACATTAAATTTATATATACACACATATATATGTAATTTAATATACATATTTTAAAGGTAGGTGCTTTTCTCCCTTTCTCTATCATTTTCTTCTCCTAATTACAATAAACCAATTTTTTAAAATGTGTAAGTTCAATAGATGTTTATTCCTAGTCTTTGATTTTAAAGGTATGTGAGTAAAATATTTAAAATATTTGTTTTTTTTAAAATATCATTTTCTTTAAGACATCTTTATTTTATTTTGCCAGTGAGTCAGTGTATCTAAAAGAAAGGTTTCCCAACCATTGTTTAGGCTGTTCTACATACTGAAACAATCTTTTCCTGTTAAGTTCGTCTCCAATTCTTGAAAGCTGGATTCAAAATATACATGTCAGAGGTCACTGATGACATTTCCCACTAGTCTCTTTCTTAATGCTGCTATTTGATTATATTCTCCTTGAAACTCTCTCCTCTCTTGCTTCCATATTACACTGTCCTCATCCTTTTCCTGCTTATATGACTCCTCTTTTTCTTTTGCCAACTAGTCTATATTTCTGAACGTGGCCATTCTCCAAGGTTTGGTGCCCTAGACATTCCCTCTATAGACTCTCCCACACTTACTCTCTCAGTATCAGACATTATCTCTGAGCTAACAGCTATCAAATATCTTTTCTCAGTTCTGTTCTCTCACCAGAGCTCTGGTTACACAACTTAATAATTCACTGGATATTTCTAAATGAATGCTCAGTATAACCACACACTTAATTCAAAAGCTACTTATCATCATTCTTCCCAAATGGGCTGGCTCTGCCTTTCAACTTCTATTCCATTCAATGGCATGAATGAACATCACAGCCTTGCTAGCTACAACGATTAGAACCCCTGTGGCTCATCTTGTGTCAGAACACACTAGTGGGATGTAGTGTGGCTCTGGATCAGACAGACTTAAATTTATCCCTGGGACTGCCATTATTTATTGTGTGATCTTCAATTAGTTAATTACTCTCTGGGCCTACATCCTCATCTGTAAAGTGGGATTAACAACATCTATCTCACAGGATTATAAGGATCAAACAACCTACAATGCACATGGGACATAGAAGGCAAGCAATAGCCCCTCTCGTATCGTCAATTACCATATTTTGCCCATTCTTCTACTGAAAGTGTCTCACAGGTCTCCCTACTCAAAATTCTCTTAGTCATATCTGGATTACTCTAATAACCTCTCTGCAGTATGCCATAAATATAACCTGTTCAATCCGTTGTTTAGATTGTGTCTAAATAATCTTCCTAAAATGTGCATTTTTCAAGTCATATCCTTATTAATAAAATCCTCGACAGCTTTCTATTCCCTAACAATCAAGGCTTGTTCCACTTTCAAGGATGTTCAAACTCTACCCACTCAAACCTACTCGCTAGTACTTCCCATGACAAATGTGCCCTGGCTGAGTAGGCTTCTTCACTGTCCTACATGCGCACACCAAGATCTTCCCACCACCGTGCCGCTGCTCAGGCTGTTCCTTTCCTCTGCTCTCACTGGCTGTATTTAAAATCTGTACCAAACACAGCTTACTTATGCTATATGCTGGTTTTCATTTCCCTAGATTGTCTAATCTATATTTATCCTGTCTCCACTTTGACAGTTTGTGGTTTATTATTCATGACCCCCTGTCTACTATAGTGTATCACTGTGGAACCAAGCAGACAACTTCTTCTAAGTGGATTAAAAGAATGGGGAAAAATTACTATTAGATGATCTGATTTAATATACTTAACATACTTACAAGTTTATTTCAATTTTTTTTTCTTTATTGATTTTAGATAGAGAGGAAGGGAGAGGGAGAGAGAGAAACATCGATGAGACAGCACATCGACTGGCTGCCTCCAGCATGCCCCCCATTGGGGATCAGGCCCACAACCTGGGCATGTGTCCTGACTGGGAATCAAACCAGTGACCTCTTAGTGCATGAGTCGATGCTCAACCAACGAGCCACTCCAGCCGGACAACATACTTGCGAGTTTAAAGACTTGCATTGTTTGTTGTTTATAAGTTTTTTATCAGCCCAACTACATGGAGTTTTTGGGGTTCTTTTGCATTTTTATGTTCAGATAGAGCGTGAGGGAGGGAGAGAGAAACATCGATGTATGAGAGACACATCGAGTGGCTGCCACCCACACGACCCCAACCAGGGCCGGGGACAAACTGCAAACTGATATGTGCCCTTAGCAGGAACCAAACCTGGGTCTCTCTGGTCCGCAGGCAGATGCTCTAACTGCTGAACCAAACTGGCCAGGGCCATGGCAGCTTTTTGAAAATAAAGATAGATGACTAGCTTTTTCTGCATTCCCATAAAAATCTAACATAGCATTAGCCATTTAGTCTAACTAATAAACCTTCTGATTATATATCACATAAATAATAAAGTTCATTTTTTTTGATCCTCACCCGAGGACATTTTTACATTAATTTTCAGATAAAGATGGAGGGAGAGAGGGAGGAAGAGAGAGAGAGAGAGAGAAACATCGATGGGAGAGAGACGCATCGACTGGTTGCTACCTGCACAATCCCACTGGGGCCGAGGACAAACTGCAACCGAGGTACGTGCCCTTGGCCAGAATCAAACCCGGGACTCCTTGGTCCATAGGCGACGCTCTTACCACTGAGCCAAACTGGCCGGGACAATAATAAAGTTCTTTAGAGTTAAAACCTTAATATATCTTTGCTTTCAACGACAAAGCAATGCTTTTCCAGGCAAGGTACATACCTATACTCCATAGGGAAATGTTCTTATTGAGACCTTCCTTCCTAGGAGGATATTTCCCTTCCTCCCGCTCTCTTCTCCCAGTTAAAAACTCTACTACAAAAAGCCACCGTGACTGATGAGCATATGTCACAGTATTTAGTACATACAGCTCAAGTGTTTCAAAACAGGACAACATGATTCTAATGACACTCAGAGGAAAAATAATTTTCAGCATCATCTATGGATAGAATCCTCAACTATACATACCATAATCAGCAGGTGTATAATTCAGAAGTTCAAATTTCCAGTGTTTATAGCCTGAATAATTCTGGTACATGTCAAATATTTCTCGGGTAAATTGTTGGCAAATATCACCTAAAAGAAAACACAAAAACTAGTCAGTCAGCACAAATTTCTAAGAGAACCATTCTTTTTTTTAATTGTTGAGAGTATTAAAAATGCCCCCCTTTTATCCCCGCCTTGTTCCTCTCCTCCCCATCCCACCCTCCTCCTTAATTATAGGCTCCTTAAGAAATGAGTAACTATTGTGTGTCAAATCAAAGTCAATTGAGCACACTTTTAAAGTTACAGTGTGTCAAATCAAAGTAAAATTTAGGTATTTTTTTAGATTGTTTACAATGAAATTATTTTACTGACCTCCAGTAGTTCTTCCAGATGTCACCTCTAAAATAACATCATTTTTGTCATACTTCTCCTTTGGTACTAGATTCTGGAAAAGCTAAAAAAGGAAAAAACTATAAGCATTAGTGTGCATATGTTATATATAATAGGGGTATACACACTATTATTACTTGAACTTAGTTAAAAGACCCCAAACATTAAAAAAAAAAATCAGTAATTAACAAAATCATATAGCATCCCAGTGAAGTCTACTCCTAAAATGCTTTAATAAGAAGACCTAATTAGACCTAAAGTAAGTGATCAACTCATGTTAACAATGAAGTTACTTGTCAGGATGTTCTCTACAATGCTATCAGGTTATCCTAATTTTCTAAAATGCAGAAGTTTAGATCAAAGTCCAGTGTTCCATTCAATTGTCTTCAAATTTTACCTTATTAGTTCTGAACAATAACTTCTTTCATCTAATGAATAAAGTAAAGCTTTTAAAGTCTCCATTTTACATATGACTGCATATTCTCTCTTGCCATAAATGACAGCGAATACCAGGCTGTGCCCGCCTTCTCAGTAGAGTTGCTTTGTTTAAAGAGTACGCTGAGGACTCCCGAGATAAGGCTCAAATAGTTTCTTAGCTGTGACAAGAAAAAAAAGAGTATACTAACAAAGAAAGTAATCAACTTTCCCCTTAGGAAGAAAAAGAAAGCAATTTTATTTTTATTATTATTAAAATGTCTTTCAAATCAAACTAAAAGTACCTATGTGTCATGATACTCCCTACTGTCAATTTTTAAAATACTCCATTTCTGCTAACGATGATCTAGTCTATGGGAAAGAATATTAGAGTCAGACATCTTACTTTGATTATCTGGTTAAATCAGTGACAAAAATAACCTACACTTCCACCTCACCCACTTCAACCTCTCAGAAAGCTCCTCTACTGGATTCCCAGAGTAGGGAAGACTAAAGGCAGGAGGATGGCAAGTATGGCAGAGGCGAACATGGTATATGGTTCTGTGATTTTAGACAAATTATCCATTGAGCTGAAAGAAGCAAAGATTTGTGTTAACCAACTGTCTCTATGCCCTTGGATTTGTTCCCTTCTATCCAGAATGTAATTTTTTTTTCATATAGATTAATAATTTTACTGTGAAACAGTAATGCCTTACATTTGCCTTAGTGAATTACAAGAGAAACAGTGTGGTCCGTGGAGTCCAGGCCATGATAGAGGATGAGTCACAGTGTTCTCAGGGGCCCGGGGACAGTGGGGGACAGTTGCTTGCACACGCATCCTGGAATTGGAGTAGTTACAACAGCCCTGCAGACTGTCCGCAGACCTCCCGTCAGCCGGGCCCGGCCAGATTCTCTGTGCGCACCCTGAGCCCCTGAGGGAGGGACAGGGTCTTATCTGACGGCATGCCTGGGGCCTGGCACACACAAGGCACTTGGTAGTCACCACACAAATCAAGTAAAAACCCGTCTCTCAGCAATGAAAGGACTTGCAGTCTGGGGAGAAGGACGGGAAATCATGAGGTTCGTCTCCTTCGGAATGGCGACAGTGTCGGTTTGATGGGCAGAGAGCGGAGCACGATTGTCACGTTCATGTCGGCTCACATTTGTGGACACACAGCATGTGGGGGACCCTCCTCTAGGTACAAGGGAGCCAAAGATGGCCCAGGTGCCCTCCCTGCGAATCTGTCCAGTGTCACCGCTGAGAAGCACATAAAAAGGGGAGAGTGTTGCCCGGCCTTGGGGCTCCTTCCTTAATTTACCCAGGTCAGGCTCTTCATGTGTAGGAAGGGTCTGTCCCTGCCTCCCTCTCGGGGCTGTTGTGAAGAGTGAATGAGGCAGGGACAGCAGAATGTAAATTTTCAACCCTTAATTAACACGATCACCATGAAATTACTGCCCCCTTCTAAGACTTAAAAGCCCTTGGTGAAATAAATTTATCAGCATGTGTTCCCTTGCCTGGAAAGTTAATAGATTCAACTTTAGAATATTGCTGCTGGGGGTTAGGGGAGTGTTTTATTCTTTGATATATATCACAATCTCTTTAATCTCATTCTGTAGCAAATTATAGGACTAAACCCAGCCTGATCACTTATCAAAGAGAAGACTTAATAACTGGTGTTTGGAAAGTACTTTGAGCACTAGTGCATAATCTAGCAAGAACAGTTGTCCTGTATAATAACACTATTGAGATTAGTTTACCTCCTAAAACATACCTTACTATATAATACGTTGATTTTTTGACCAATGGTTTGCTTCTCTTCCAGTGCAAGTTCTTGTAACTGCTTTTCATTTTGTTCATTTAGACCTACAAACCAACAACAATAATAATGGTAAGTTTTTAAATACTTAGAGAGAAGCTTTTAAATATCTACCTAATCTATGCCTACTAAGTTTTATTTCAGTTGTGAAGGCAAGGGATTGTACAAAAGAATAGTTAGAACAGTTAGAGAATATCAATAAACAAGTATTTATAAAGTATGTCCAAAAATTCCAGTGTGAAAAGAAGCATGATCTTGCCCCAAAAGCTTGTGATTTAAAAGTTTATAAGTAATTACAGAAATCAGTGATTAATCAAACAGATTTAAAAAGGGACTAATTAAATATAAACACAAATAAGATGTTTTGGAGTAAACTGGGTGGCCACTTCTTGTCTAAAGGTGCACCTATTACCCAGCACACTGTGAGTAATCTAGCACCGGTAAAGCCTCCATTTTTATAGAGTAAATGTAGCCGATATCACTATCATAGAATAGCAGAGCTGTAAGCCTAGAAGAGAGTTTAGAAAAAATCTAATCCAATCTAATATTACACATAATATAACCATGGCTGAAAGAAGTTATGTCAATTTAATTTAGAAAGCATTCAGAAAGCTCTTATTATGTGCAAGAAACTTTCTCAAAATTAATTAATTACAAATTTGAGTGGCATTATGCAAAAGAGTAAAAAATAATCGTATTAAACGTAGGTTAGATATATGTGGTGCCATTAATAGAAGGCAGGCAGGAAAATGTAAGGCTTTGGACACCCAGGACTTCACAGGAATAATTATGACTAAACTTGACATTGCTTAACATTTCTAAGGCTTAATTAAACATGACGGAGCACAAAAGAAAGTTTGGGAACTAAAAGCCAATAACAGAATATGGATAAATGTTGAATCCCAGGTTAGTACATTATGCTTTTCTTTCAATTTTTGCACATTGTGAAAATTTTTCATAAGAGAAAAAATATTTAGGCAACAGCATTAAAAAAATACGAAAATTAAAAATAAACACTCTCGCCCTGGCTGGTTTTGCTCAGTGGTTAGAGTGTCGACCTGCGGTCAGGAGAGATTGGGTTTGGTTCCCACTAAGGGCATGTACCTTGGTTGAGGTTTGTCCCTGGCCCTGGTTGGGTCGTGTAGGAGGCAGCCACTCAATGTGTCCCTTTCACATCGATGTTTCTCTCTCTCTCTCTCTTCCTCTCTTTCCCCCCCACTCTATCTGAACAAAACATAAAAAAATGTCCTCAGGTGAGGATAAAAATAAAATAAACACCTCTCACATAATATATAAAATTAACTCAAGTAGATCAAAGACCTAAATGTAAGAGCTAAAAATATAACACTCTTGGAGGAAAATACATAAACCTTTGTGACCTCAGATTATACAATAGTTTCTTGGATATGACAACAAAAACACAAGCAACAAGAGAATAAAAACATAAATGGACATCATCAAAATTTAAAAGTGTGGTGTTTCAAAGAACAATCCACAGAATGGGAGAAATTTTTCTGGAAATCATTTATCTGATAAAAATCTTATGTCTGGCCTGGCTGGTGTGGCTCAGTGGTTGAGCGATGACCCATGCACCAGGAAGTCACCAGCTCGATTCCCGGTCAGGGCACATGCCCGGTTTATGGGCTCGATTCCCAGTGTGGGGCATGCGGAAGGAGGCCAATCTATGTTCTCTCTCATTGAGGTTTCTATCTCTCTCTCCTCTCCTCTCTCTTTAACATCAGTAAAGAAAAAACATTAAAAAAAAAAATGTCTGGTCCTGGCCAGGCTGCTCAGTTGGTTAGAAGTCATCCCAATATACCACGGTTGCAGGTTCAATCCCTGGTCATGGCACATACAAGAATCAACCAATGAATGAATAAATAAGTGGAACAACAAATACATGTTTTTCTCTTTCTCTCTAAAATCAATAAATAAAAAATTTTAAAAACACAGAACTTGTATCTATAATATAAAAAACTCTTACAAATCAGTAACAAAAAAACCAAATAACTCAGTGGGCAAAGGATCTGAACAGTCATTTATCCAAAGATGACATGACAAATGGGCACCCACAAAAAATACTCAACATCATTAATCAGGGAAATTCAAATCAAAATCACAAGGAGATACCACTTCACACCCACTAGGATCCCTAGAATCAAAGAGGCAGATAACAAGTACTGGCAAGGATGTGGAGAAATTAGAACCCTCATACACTGGCGGTGGAATGAAAATGGTGCAGCCACTTGGAAAACAATCTGACAGTTCTTCAAAAGGTTAAACAGAGTTATGATACAACTCAGCAATCTATTGTCCACACAGAAACTTGTACACAAATGTTTATAACAGCACTTTTCATAATAATCAAAAAGTGAAATGGCCCTGGCCGGTTTGGCTCAGCGGTTAGAGCGTCGGCCTGCGGTCCTGAGAGACCCAGGTTCGGTTCCCGCTAAGGGCACGTACCTCGGTTGCAGTTTGTCCCCGGCCCTGGTTGGGTCATGCAGGTGGCAGCCACTCGATGTGTTCCTTTCACATCGATGTTTCTCTCTCTCTCTGTTCCTCTCTCTCCCTCCCACTCTACCTGAACAAAAAATGGAAAAATGTCCTCGGATGAGGATAAAAAAAAAAAAAAAAAAAAAAAAAGTGAAATGGCCACACAGTAGGAACATTAAAAAACAATGGGGATTATGTAGACACAGTGATTTGGGTTTCTTCTTCTTCAGGAGAATGAAAATAAATTCACATATATAAAATCTGAGGCCTTAAATTCCTAGTACATTCTTTCATCTTTAAAAGAAAATGTTAATATATAAAAAAGTGCTTGTAGATAGTGGTGATGGCTGCACGATGTGAATATAGTTAATGCTGCAGTACATTCATTTAATAGTAAATTTTGTTATGCATATTTTACCACAATATTTTTAAAATAGATGTTGCTTTCTTTACATTTATATCTATGTGTAAATATTTAAGAAATATCTATCTAATAATATAGGCATAAGCACTGCAAATATAGTCATCTGTCATTTCACACACACACACACACAAATCAAAAAGTGAAAACTCAATATCCATCAACTGATGAATGGACAAGTGAAATGTGGTATATACTCTTACCACGAAATGTAATTTATGCAATAAAAAAATGAAGAATGGATATAGGCTACAACATAGATGTACCTTTAGAATACTATGCTAAGTGGGTCCAGAGGGACCTGGGTTCAGTTCCCGCTAAGGGCGCGTACCTCGGTTGCAGTTTGTCCCCCGCCCTGGTTGGTCGCGCAGGTGGCAGCCACTCAATGTGTCCCTTTCGCGTCGATGTTTCTCTCTCTCTCTCCCTCTCTACCTCTCTCTCCCTCCCACTCTATCTGTACAAAAAATAGAAAAATGTCCTCGGGTAAGGATAAAAAATTAAAAAAAAGAATATTATGCTAAGTGAAAAACGCCAATCACAAAAGACATCATATTATATGATTCCATTTATATAAAATGCCTGAAGTAAGTGAATCTACAGAGACAAAAAGTGGATTAGTGGTTGCCTAGGGCTGCTAGGGAAGGGGGTGACTGGGATGAGATGACTAAAGGGTGATGAAATAATACCTAGACCAATAAGCCCTTTGATAGGATAGGAAATGTATTTTTGTGTCCCTAGTATGTAACACTGTAGGGCAGTGCCCATTAAAGTCTGTTCCCCAGACCCTAAAAATGTCCTGGCAAGCATCACGAGGCGCTCAGTCTCTTAGTAGTTGATCTTTAGTAGCTGAAATACTTCACACACCCAAAGTACAGAGTCCTATCCTTTCCAAGTGTAGAGCTTATTACTTGTAGGCTTTTTAAAGACTGAATTCAGCCCTGGACACTCTGGTTCAGTGGTTAGAGCGTCGGCCTGCGGTCCTGAGACCCAGGTTTGTTTCCCGCTAAGGGCGCGTACCTTGGTTGCAGTTTGTCCCCGGCCCTGGTCGGTTGTACGGGTGGCAGCCACTCGTCGATGTTTCTCTCTCTCTCTCTCTGTTCCTCTCTCTCCCTCCCACTCTACCTGAACAAAAAATGGAAAAATGTCCTCGGGTGAGGATAAAAAAAAAAAAAAAGACTGAATTCAATAAAACTTTAACTTAGAAAATCAATCCTGTACTTGTACACACACATATCTTTTACTTACTTTCACACATTGATTCTAATTCTTCAATTGCTTGTTCAGCCTCCTGAATTTCTTGATAAATCGCTGCAAACGGTGCCAACTCAGCATGTCTTTGATTCAAGGACCTTTGGTCCCCTTGATTCACAGAGATATGCTGTAAGCACTGATCAAGTGTTTGGTACTCCTTATTCAGGTCCTCCATATATTTCTGCACTGCTTTATGCTTCCAGAACATCTTGGTGTGTTGATGACAGTATCTCTTGGGCCAATTCTTATTTGCCAGATGATGGAGAATGTGATTCCTGTTTTGTCTAAAAACCCACAGCCTTGTATTAAGATGTACCTGTGTAAACTGACGAGAAGGAGGATGGATGTGGCCCTGGTGGTGACCATGAAGAAATGAATGTCTAAAGAGCCAAACACAGAGGTGACGATTCATCTCAGCACCTGTAATATAAAAAAAATAAACACAATCTGGGGGGGAAAAATCAACTCTACAGATATAATAAAGTTTGAATGAGCCTCAAGAAATCTTGCTCAGTTCCCTGTTTGAGCCAGCTCCAAGCATGGTCCTCAAATTCCATAACTCACAAAAAGAAAATATTCTTCAAACCTCTGAAAAGAATGCACTAAAATAAATGAAAAAAAGTACTATTTTCTACCCAGCCAAGACATATATAATTAAGGCAAATGTAAGTGTATAATCGGTTAATATATCAATAGCATAAGTTAAATAATCTATTTTCTAGAAAGTATCCAGAATCTATCATTGAATGCATGAATAAGCACTTAAAAGGTATAAAATAGCCTGGCTGGTATGGCTCAGTAGATTGGTTCGATTCCAGGTCAGGGCATATGCCCAAGATGCAGGCTTAATCCCCAGCATGCAGGAGACAGTCAGTCGATCAGTGTTTCTCTCTCATTGAGGTTTCTATCTATCTCTTCCTCTCCGTTCCTTTCTCTCTAAAAACCAAGAGAAACATTAAAAAAAAAGGGTATAAACTAATCATGCTAACTTTAGGTGGTTCACATATTTATAGATTTCTAAAGTTTGATGTAAATAGCAACTATTTTCTTGTTTAATTCTTTCATTTTTAGGTATCCAGATATCTAAGGAAGTCAAATAATTTAATCATGATTATTTACTCAGCCAAACAGAGACAGAGCTGAATCTTGAATGCAGGTTCCTTATTCAGAGCTCAGTGCTTTTCATTCTCAATTCTACAATCACTCTTCAAAGATGCTTCCCTTTTAGCTTAAATCCTAAGGAAGAAAGCTTCAACTATTAACAGATTGAAAAAATAAAAAGGGACATAGTGATAATTACAGTTGACCCTTGAACAACATGGGTATGAACTACAAGGGTCCACTTACACCCTGATATTTTCAATAAATACATAATCAGCCCTCTGTATCCCCTGGTTTCCCATCTGAAGATTCAACCAATGGTGACTGAAAACAGTATTTTCAAGCCACTGTTGGGGATCTGTGCAGGTAAAAGGATCAAATGTATGCATTGTCCGTCACCATTTTCTATAAAGCACTGAGTAGCTGGGATTTTGGTATCTGTGGGGGGTTCTACAACCAATCTAACCTGTATACTCAGGGATGACTGTGATTAAGTTTTGGAGGAGTCAAAAGTTATGAATTTTCGACTGGGGGTCAGGGGATTGTTGCCCCTAACCCCTGTACTGTTCAAGGATCAAGTGTACAAAACAATATAATCTCAATCACATTTTAAAATTTTATTCATAATACATGGTATACATGTAAAATACATATAGAATACTTTGGGGGAAAAAAACTAAAAAATAAATATATAATAATGTTAAGATGATTTCTAGTTGTGGGATTATAGATACCCTTTGCTTACTTTCTATTTTTTTTCTACTTTTTAGTGTTTTACAAGTCTTCTATACTTATAGCATGTATTACTTTTACAATCAAGAAAAAAGTCATTTTAAAAAATTACAAGTTAGTGCAATTGGCTGTGTACAATAATCATTTGTTCTCCCCTCTAACAGAGATAATCAAGAGCTAACAAAAGTACACAATTGTTTTACTGAGTAAGAAAGGGTTCTAAGAACACTTTGACTCTAAAATCCTGTGGTTGAAAGTTGAAATAAAGGTCAAAATGTATCAAAATCAACCTTTATTGTCTCTGGTGCTCCTACTATGCTAGGAGGTGCATTCATATATTAGCTCATTTGATCATTATGTCTACCAACTTATATATCATTACTAAGAAATAAAATATTCAAAGTTTGCAGGGTTCTACTAATGAACTTGAACCTACTGACTCACATTTAAAAAGGACTGTGGAAGAATGCATCTATGCTCAGTAACCACAAAAGTTACTGTCCTCCAGCACAGGTTTCTGTGTGTCTTTACATCGAGTCTCAAGCACATCAGAGGAGGTGCGTCCATTTGAAAACGGGCAGAATAAAAGGAATGTAAGCATTTCTGTTAGAACACTTCTGGCTAAAATTTCCACCTTAGAAACAGCAGCAGAATGAGTAACTCTAAAGGTCATGAACCTCAATGTGAAAGGGGGAAAAAAAACAAGACGTTTGCTCTCTAGGATTCTACCTGACAACAGCAAGTATCTCCGATACTCCTGGAACAATTCTCAGCGTCGGTGTATCAGACGTGACCCTAATCCCGGGCGAGAGCAGCACGTGTAAACCACACTGTGAAACTTGGCATATGCAGTGATCCCACTAGTAGGGAACACAGAAAATACACTGGAGAAAGGAAAAAAAAAAAAAAGACTTTTTAAGATTATAAAAGAGAAATTAGTTGTGAGTACCTAAAATAAAAAAGACGTCGGTTTTCCTTACTGAGGCCGGAACCTTCTCTAACCCGGTACATGTCAGCCGGAAGGCACGGAATCACTTTCACTTCCTGGGCCACTTATTCCGGGTTAACATGTGATTCCTGGCTCCTCCTCTGTCTCGACTTGTGCAGAGGAGTAGTGTCTAGGTGTTCGTTAGAACACTGAGGTAGCAGAAGAAACAAACGAGAAAAATTAAAGTGCAAAAGAGAAAAAAATTACAAAGCAAGAAAAATGCCCTTGAGGCGACCACGCGAGTTATTTACCCCGAGCAGGAGCTCAGGGTGTGGGTTGCTAGCGAGGGGGCCGGAGTGGGCAGGAGGGGCGGGGCGCAAGGCCGAGGGCCCGCAGCGTAGAATGTACTACAACTCCCAGTAGCACCCACCCAGGGATCCTGGGAGTTGTAGTTTCTCTCCGGACAGGCGCCCCGCCCCCACTTCCTTGGGCCAAAGGTGGAGCTTTGGTTTTCTGGTTCAGGCAAATCTAGGAGAGAGAATCTCTACAGGTTAGATTAAGAGATCAAGATTTACAATATATTAATGTAAAGTTACAAGAATTTCCTTACATATGGAGCAACTAAAGTAGTGATTTCCTTCATTTCTTTTATGAGCATCACCTTTTCATCATTCAAAAATTTTGGGTATCCTGCTTGTTAATAGCTGTACTCTCTGCTTTTGTTGCCTAAGAAAATACCTAATGACTAAATGAGAGTATAAATTTTTATTTTTAAAAACCATAATGAGAGCCAAAAGATAGACTATAGATATCTATAAATTAGTGATTTTATAGATGTCACATGCAGATACAGAATTTAGGGGTCCATCTTAGGTTCACAGCTTGTAAACCAACGTTTAAACAATTTTAAAATCCAAATAATAAACATTTCCAGGGAAATGCAAGCATATTGCCTTAATTTGAATATACCAGTGGGATACAGCCTTTACCAACCATATTTACAAATCATTTGACCTGTATGCCTCACTATTTCTTCCTGAAACGCAAAGACAAAAAGAATCCCATATTACAAACTTTACAGGATATTTTCTTAGGTTATGACTGTACATATAAAAATAATTAGTCATAAATGTAAATGTCCCAACATTTATTACCACTTCAAGAAATCTACTTTGTTTGCTACTGTAAATACTGCTTCCATGTTTTATAAGAGAGAAAATAATGTAATATATTTATATTTATTAATATGCAAAGATGTCCACAATATAGTATTAAGTGAAAGAGGATATTTAAAAAAAAAAAAAATTTTTTTTATCACCAGAGGACATTTTCCCATTTTTTTGTTCAGGTAGAGTGGGAAGGAGAGAGAGGAACAGAGAGAGAGAGAGAAAGATCGATGTGAAAGGAACACATCGAGTGGCTGACACCCGCACGACCGACCAGGGCCGGGGACAAACTGCAACAGAGGTACGTGCCCTTAGCGGGAACCGAACCCAGGTCTCTCTGGACTGCAGGCCAACGCTCTAACCGCTGAGCCAAACTGGCCAGGGCAAAAAAAATTTTTTTTAATCCTCACCTGAGGACACTTTTTGCATTCATCTTCAGATAGAGTGAGAGGGAGAGAGGGAGGAAGAGAGAGAGAGAAACGTCGATATGAGACACACATTGAATGGCTGTCATCCACATGACCCCAACTGGGGCCGAGGACAAACTGCAACCAAGGTACGTGCCCTTAGTGGAAAACGAACCCAGGTCTCTCTGGACTGCGGGCCAACACTCTAACTGCTGAGCCAAACTGGCCAGGGCGAAAGAGGATTTTTTTTTTAAATCAGTAAACTGTTCCATTATTAAAAACTATATGTAATGCATATACTTAAAGATCTGGTTGAATTATAGGTAATATTTATTTTCCTCTTTATAGTATTCTGGATTTCCTGAGGTTTTGTGATGAGTATTGTTGTGAACAAGAAAGCTATAAAGGAAAGAAGTTATTCGTTATTAGTTTTTTTTTTTAAATCCTCACCCAAGGATATGCTTATTGACCCTAGAGAAAGAGGAAGCAGGAGATGGAGAAACATTGATGTGAAAGAGAAACACTGATCAGATGCCTCCCAAATGCTCCCTGACCTGGGATCACACTCAAAACACAGGTATGTGCCCTGATCCAGAATCAAACCCACAACCTTTTTGGTGCATCAGTCAACACTCCAACCAACTGAGCCACCTGGCCAGAGCCCCCCAAAAAGTTATTCTTTCATGTTTTTTTTGTATGTGCCCCTAGCGGGAACCGAACCCAGGACTCTCTGGTCCGCAGGCCGACGCTCCAAACGCTGAGCTAAACCAGCCAGGACTATTCTTTCATGTTTGATTGAAAAAGCTTTATGTGCCCAGCTGGTGTGGCTCAGTGGCTGAGTGTCAACCCACGCACAAGAGGTTACTGGTTCAATTCCTGGTCAGGGTACATGCTGAGGTTATGGGCCCAATCTGGCCCAATCTCCGGGGTGGGGAGGGAGCATGCAGGAGGTGGCTAATTGATGTTCTCTCTCATCGATGTTTCTATCTCTCTCCCTTCCTCTCTCTCTCTAATCAATAAAGAAGAACATAAATAAAATAAAGCTAAATGACAACAGCCAACACAACAGTCATCTGGTGTGAATAAATCAAAATTATACCTATTTTTTTGTCAGATCTGCCACAGAATTTTAGTAATTAGTTCATGTGTGCCATGAAATGAAAAAGGTTATAAGTCACTGCTCTACAGGTTTGGACATTTCTTAAATCCACAGCCCTAAGCAGATGCTTTATTGATGTGGAATCCCTCCAAAAGGACACAAGTCCACCTTCTGTTAGTACTGTAGACATGAGTTTCCTTGGAATCTTTGAAATGACCTGGAGGTCTGAGAGTGAAAATCCCCATTCTCTACCACTTTGGGTTTTGGGCTGAATTTGCTCTAAATGGATCTGAAAAATGGCTCCATCTATTTTGTTGTTTTAGCTGGATTCAAGTTGGAGGAGGGGGACAGAGATTATTTAGTTTCACAAAGGAATACCAAATTGTACCCATTCAACAAAAAAACTATAAACTTTTTAAAAACTGATTTTTTGTTGTTAGAAAGAGAGAGGAAGGGGAAGAGAGACATTGATTTGTTGTTCCTCTTATTTATGCATTCATTGGTTGATTCTTTTTTTTTTAATCCTCACCCGAGGACATTTTCGATATTTTGTTCAGATAGATTGGGAGGGAGGGAGGGAGGGTGGGAGAGAGAGAGATAGAGAGAGAGAGAGAGAAACATCAATGTGAAAGGGACACATCGAGTGGTTGCCACCCGCATGACCCAACTAGGGCCGGGGACAAACTGCAACCGAGGTACATGCCCTTAGCGGGAACCAAACCTAGGTCTCTTTGGACCGCAGGCCAATGCTCTAACTAATGAGCCAAACTAGCCAGGGCCACTGGTTGATTCTTCTATGTGCCCTGACCAGGGATCGAACCTCCAACCAACTGAGCTACCTAGCCAGGGCTGTTGTCATTGTTTTATTTGCAAATCTAAGGAAGAAGAGGTCAGTACCCTTGACTAAATAGTCAAGTATTGCATGTTTTATTTTATTATTATTATTTTTTTTATCCTCACCTGAGGACATTTTGCATTTTATCTTCAGATAGAGCGGGAGGGAGAGAGGAAGAGAGAGAAACATTGATGTGAGAGAGACACATCAAGTGGTTGCCACCCACAGGACCCCAACCAGGGCCGGGGACAAATTGCAACTGAGGTTCATGCCCTTAGCGGGAACCAAACCTGGGACTCTCCAGTCCATGGGCCGTCGCTCTAACCGCTGAGCCAAACTGGCCAGGGCAAGTATTGCATGTTTTAAAAATCCTTGCAGCACACTGGTTGAAAATCACTGCTGCAGAGAATTTTCATAGTTTATTTGAGCCAAATTGATGACATGCTGGGGAGCAAGATCGCAAGTGCTCCCAAGAATAACAGTTTTGTAGCTTCTTTTATGCACTTGAAATTAAGGAGGGAAGTACCTGAAGATAGGAGATAGCCAGGCAGGGAATGGATTAAAGGGTAGTTAACAAGATTATGTGCTTTTTTGAGGATTTATTTCTAAGGCATGTTAACCTGATGCACAGAAACAATGGACGTGGCTTACTTCAGGCAAACATAAACCTTTTACTAAAGACATTATATGCTTGGGGCATGACTGCCTACCGTGACCTGACCAGTTAGGACTCTATGATCAGAACATCCCAAGAAGTTATCTCCCATTCAACTCCTCTTTCATCTACAGGACTTTCCCTTAGAGAAGCAGAGCACCAGGACTTCCTCAGCCCTGGACATTTTTTTGGGAACCAGACCAGAGTGGGTGTAGAGACTGTTCTAGGCTAAGTTGAAACCTTTGGTCCTATCTGGGAAATTTTCAGAAGCAGTGAAAGCAACATAAAATCTCAGTACACAAGCCATAGCACACTCTGGCTCATAGCACACACTATGAAGATGCACTTGACCTCTGGTTCTCTGGAGTTTAGGCTCTCGACTGCATCTTGAGACATCTCACAATGGGAATATTAGCAATGGCTTGGGATTTTAATCAGATATATTTTACTATAGAAAAAAATGAAATCAAATTATTTAGCAATTTAATATAAAAATCAAACTCTCACTAAGGTGGAAAGGAAGTAGCAAATCAAAGATTATTTTCCTTATATTCTATTTTCCGAGACAAGCAGAATACAAAGAATAAAAAGGGAGCCCAGCCGGTGTAGCTCACTGGTTGAGCATCGACCCATGCACCAAGAGGTTGCCAGTTCGATTCCTAGTCAAGGCAGTAAAAAAAAAAAGAGAGAATGAAAAGGCAGCATTTCTTTTATATTTATACTGGTTCTCAAATTTTTCTTAGCTTGAAAAAAAAAAAAATGAAATGTGCCACCTGCTGGCATTATTGAAACTAAATCACTCAAATAATTTTC